TTATGTGTGTGAGTGTACCATTTGGACTTTGCACACAGAAGGTTCTCATAAATATTTTTGAATCCATTGAATCCATTCCAAATCAAGTTTAATATTTTTGCATTTTTGTCCGCTTTTGTATATAATTTGTCCAACTAAGTGAGTGCAATTTTGATTATATGTGGCATGGAATTAATTGTACTCCCTTCATGAATATTTGGTGTGTGTATGTTTTAGTAGCTCATGTTTAAAAACACTGAAAGAGCTGTCAATGTTTGGATGGATATCAAAAATGTTATATATAAGTTTGACTATTCATGAAATGATAATAGTTTCCTAGGGGTAAAAGGAAGGAGTTTAATCTAGAGCCAAGATTGTGTCAGTCTTTTTGAAAAATGACACAACTCCCTATAATTATAATTAATACTTGGTATATTTGGATTTTAAAAGTTGTTTTTCTTATGCACATTATAAATGTACCACCCTAAAGTTGACCTAATTAGCCAACTTTCCTTGGTTATATATCATTTGGCAGGTGTTTTTTGCAAAAAAAAAAATCAAACAGAACTGACCACTTTTTTCATTCCTTGTTTTTTATTCCTGCCTAAATCAATAAAACATAGGATTTATGTGCCCCTATAACATTAAATTGTTCTAAGAACAGGACACATGGGTGGCTTAGTTAGTCTAGCATCTGCTTTCAGCTCAGTCATGATTCCAGGGTCCTGGGATTGAGTCCCGCATTGGACTTCCTGCTCATTGGGGCATCTGTTTCTCTCTCTGCTCCTCCCCCCACTAGTGAGTGCTCTCTCTCTGACAAATAAATAAAGCATTTAAAAATAAATAAATAAAAAATAAATTGTTCTACGAATAGATTTTTAAAAATGAAAGTAGTAAATACCTATATTTTACTAGGGTTTTATAGGGAAGGAATGAGAAAGACTGGATAAAACACTGAGGATTTGTGATTCATGCAGAATTTTTTGTATTAATGCTTTTTGAAAATGAGTTACAGTGATTTTTATTAAATACTGACAACATTAATCAAATGAAAGCTGTATGAATGAAAAATTACATGTTTATAACTTTTTTCTATTTAAAATAAAATTAGATGGTGAAATTATGCATATGACATTTATTAAAACAGTTTCTTCTATAAAAAATGAATATATACATAATAAATAATTATAGGTCACCACAAACACATCTGATATTTTAGTTTAAAGTTAACCACACTTTTAAAGAAAAAGGTCAGAATGTACAAATGTATCCTAAGTTTTTTAAAATTAGATAAGAAAAGAATGCTTCTTCTGAATGGAGGTAAATTTAGATTTGTTTGAATATTTATTACTATTTTTCTCATTTATTCCAAACTAAGCATTTAATATATGATAGGTTAATCACAAATATTTGCAAAACTCTTTGAAAATTATTGGCTCTACCCAAAACTTACTGAAGTGAATGGATTTTCCAGTATGAATTTTTTCACTCAGATTCTTGGGCCCATAATGTGAATAAGATTAATATAATAATACAAGACAGATTCTACCTGTTGTCCTTTAAACTTGGCAAATGATTACCTGTACAATGATTTAATTGAGGTCAAGTACAAGGCACTTTAAGACTGATAAACTTCAGGGCATCTGGGTGGCTCAGTGGGATAAAGCCTCTGCCTTCAGCTCGGGTCATGATCCCAGGGTCCTCCAATCGAGCCCCGCATCGGGCTCTTTGCTCAGCAGGGAGCCTGCTTCCTCCTCTCTTTCTGCCTGCTTCTCTGCCTACTTGTGATCTCTGTCTGTCAGATAAATAAATAAAATCTTAAAAAAAAAAAAAAAAGACTGATAAACTTCATCCCTTCCTGTGGAAAGTCAGGGAAGGTCAGGCTGGGTTTTCTTCTTTTTTTTTTTTAATTTTTAAATTTAATTTTATTTAAAATTTATTTAGTTTTATTTAATAAATTTAATTTATTTAAATTCAAGTTAGTTAACATATAGTATAATATTAGTTTCAGGACTAAAATTTAGTGATTCATCAGTTGCATATAATACCCAGTACTCATTATGTAACATGCCCTCCTTAATGCCCATCACCCAGTTACCCCATTCCTCAGCCACCCACCTCCAGCAACCCTCACATTGTTCTTTACAGTTAAGAATCTCTTAATGCGGGCTCCTGGGTGGCTCAGTGAGTTAAAGCCTGCCTTCAGCTCAGGTCATGATCCCAGAGTCCTGGGATCCAGGCCCGCATTGGGCTCTCTGCTCAGCAGGGAATCTGCTTCCTCCTCTCTCTCTCTGCCTGCCTCTCTGCCTACTTAAGATCTGTGCCTGTGTATCTACTTAAGATCTGTGTCTGTCAAATAAATAAATAAAATCTTTAAAAAAAAAAAAAAAGAATCTCTTAATGGTTTGCCTCCCTCTCGGTTTTTATCTTATTTTTTCTTCCCCTCCCATATGTTTATTTTTTTCTTTAAATTCCACATATGAGTGAAATCATATGGTATTTGTCTTTCTCGGACTCATTTCACTTGGCATAATATACTCTAGTTCCATCCACATTGTTGCAAATGGCAAGATTTCATTCTTTTTGATGACTAATATTCCAGTGTGTGTGTGTGTGTGTGTGTGTGTGTGTGTGTTTATATATATACCACATCTTTACCCACTCATCAGTCAATGGACAACTGGGCTCTTTTCCATATTTTGGCCATTGTGGACATTGCTGCTATAAACATTGGGGGTGCAGGTGCCGCTTTAAATCACTATGTTTATATTTTCTTTATAAATACCTACTGGTACAATTGCTGTGTCATAATGTAGCTCTTTTTTTAATTTTTTGAGGACCCTCCATACTGTTTTCCATAGCACCCATACCAGTTTGCATTTCCACCAATAGTGTAAAATGTTTCCTCTCTCTCTGCATCCTTGCCAACATCTGTTTCCTGAGTTGTTCATTTTAGCCATTCTGACTAGCATAAGGTGGTATCTCTTTGTGCTTTGGATTTGTATTTCCCTGATGATAAGTGATTTTTAACATTTTCTCACACATCTGTCATTTGTATTTCTTCTTTAGAGAAATGTCCATTCCTGTCATATGCCCATTTCTTCTTGACTGGATTTTTTGGTTTTTGGGTGTTGAGTTTGATAAGTTCTTTATAGATTTTGGGTAGCAGCATTTTGTCTGATAGGTCATTTGCAAATATCTTCTTCCATTCTATGGCTTACTTTTTAGTTTTGTTGATTGTTTCCTTTACTGTGCAGAAGCTTTTTATCTTGATGAAGTCCTGATAGTTCATTTTTGCTTTTGTCTCCTTTGCCTCTGAAGACAGGTCTGGTAACAAGTTGCTGTGGCCAAGATTAAAGAGGTTGCTGCCTGTGTTCTTCTGTAGGATTTTGATGTATTCTTATCTCACATTGAGGTCTTCCATCCATTTTGAATTTATTTTTGTGTCTGGTATAAGGGGTCCAGTTTCATTCTTCTGCATGTGACTGTCCAATTTTCCCAATACTGTTTGTTGAAGAGACTCTCTTTTTTCCAGTGGATAATCTTTCCTGCTTTGTCAAAGATTAGTTGACCATAGAGTTGAGGGTCCATTTCTGGGTTCTCTGTTCTGCTCCATTGACCAGTGTCCGGTTTTGTGTGTGTGATTTTTGTTTGTTTGTTTGTTTTTTTGCTAGTACCATACTGTCTTGATTATTACAGCTTTGTAATATAGCTTGAAGTACAGAATTGTGATCAGGCTGGGTTTTCTTAAGATCAGTTTGGCATGATGTGGAGAATCGAGGGGTTGGTGTCTGGTTCAAGTAGGAAGCAGATGAGCAAGCAAAAAGTAATGATTGGAGCCTTAGGAATGAAAAGAAATAGATGGTTCCAAATATACTTTGTGGAGATGGACCAACCAAACTAGGTAACTGGATGTGAAAGAGAGATTTGAGAAAGGAAAATATGGGGGATGAGTTCTAAATTTCTGGCATGAGCACTAACAGGATATTGTGTGAATTGACAGAGTTGGAGAATGCTGGAAGAGGATTCAGTTTGAGAGGAGAGGGTCCTAAGTCAGTGTTTAATGTGCTAAGTTTCAGATGCCCTAGAGGAGTAAGTTTCTCATGCAGGTGGTTAGGTACCTACTTTGGAAATCTTAGAATCACTGGCCTAGAATATTCAAAGTCCACAGTATATTAGATCATGGCAAGAGAATGAGGACTGAGAAGAAAATGAGCCTAAACGCCCAAGTTTAAAATGTAGAATAAGGAAGGAGAAAGCATCAGGAGAACTAAGAAGAAACTTTCGGAGAGACAATAACTACTGACAATTTTTAAAAAAATATACCATCATTTTGAGTTTCATTTTAAGTAAGAAGTCCTGTATAAAAGTAACTGTGACAATCAGGAGACTTGACTTACAGATTAACAGCACCTGGAATTTCCTGGGCCTTTTTTATAATCTGAAAAAAAAAGAATGCTTATTTTTTCCTGCCTCTTGATAATGTTGTTGTGAGAAAGTATTAAATAATGTCTATGATATTAACAATTAAATATTATGAGAAGACATATATTGAAGCCAACATCATAATCATGTGTTTTCTTAGTGGGTTTTTAGAAGAGCTACTCTCAACCAAAAATGTGGCTGTATTTGTAGAGTTCATTTACAGAAAGAACCTTCTTTTTTTTTTTCCTGTTTGCAAATATTGTTACTACTTATTTATAGTAGTTTGGTAAAACATAGTTCTGACCATAGGAGAGTCAGAAAGGAAGGAAGTCTGGAGTTTGGAAGTGAACACTGGCCTCACACCTGGTTTAGAATCACTTTTTTTTTTTCTTTTCTGGAGTTAGCTCCAAAGACAAACCAGTCACAGAGGGACAATTTATCATTATCAATATATTACAGAGCTTAACTTTGGAAGAGCTCAGATCACTCTAAAAGTTTTGTTTATCAATAAAGTAGGTATTACTTTTCACAGCATTCTTCATGAGGCAGATGTACTTGAAACAGTCTATTAACAAGTGTCCTTTCCACCCTCCCAGGGTTCCGTGGGGATACAAGGACCACAGGGTCCACCTGGAAAAGAAGGTCAAAGGGTAAGTAAACTTGGAACAACTGGCAGGCATTATTATCTAAGGGCTTACTTATTTCTGAACATTAATGAAAATAAACCCAAAATACACAAGCAGATGAGGAGAGGGTTAATGATCCAAAGCCTGAAATCTGAGTTGAGATTTTGACAGAGCTTTTACAATCCAGAAAGTTCTCTATGAACTTTCAAGATTGGCAGCACAAATGTAGAGATGCATTAGGTGAAATGAGTTAACCGTAATTTGATCTAGGGCACATTGGTCTTATTTTGGGGTTTTGAGTTAAGCTGATCTTTGCAGAGTTAAGTTGATGAGTATCTTTGTGGAGTTCCTGCCTGTACATGAATTCTGTAAAGATGGTGGATATTAACTACAGTCTTTAGTTGAATTAAATTATTGACATTAGTGATGCTTTGTAATGCTTCTTTTTGAGTTTTCTGCCTTTGAGATAAAATATGTAGTAAGTGAATAAATTGTAGTTGCAATAGTTAGTCTTAGCTTTCCCCAGGAAAGGGAACCCCTGCAGTGATAATGGGTAAGCTTCACTTCAACAGCAGTGGGTCACTCCATTCTTATGGCTTATTGTTATTACTATTTTCAAATCATTTTAATGCCTTGAAACACTTTATGTGCTTGCTCATATGATTATTGTTATTAACTTTTGTTACCTGATAGATGAGGATTGTATGATTCAGGGTTTAGGTGATTTGCCTAAAGTCAAAGAGCTAATAAAAAGAAGACCAGAACTTGAATATGGGGCTTCTGATTCTAAATCCCATGTTCTCTTTTACTGTCCTACGATATTAACCCCAAATCTCTTTTTTAGTCATTTTTGTTTATTATTTCCAGTTTTGTCCTCTGGCAAATAAGTCTTTTACCTCAAATATATCAAAATCCTTCAACTATTTGGGAACCAGTGGTATATTTTACCAATGTTTACCTTTTATCAGGTTAAAATCTCATTTCTCTTAATTCTCTTATATGGATTTCTGACTCCCGACATGCTAGAAAGTACTCATGGACTTTCTGGCGGTATCAGGAATGGGACTGAACATGTGTGATGTTATTTAGGGCAGAGCAAAATGTGGCAAGTATGCCCTTGTACTATAGAAAATATACTTCAATTGGAGCTTAAGATTGAGCTGATGTGCTTCTGTGTATTTTTTTTAAACTAACTTTTTCTACTACAGCAACTTTTTTGTTTTTTTTTTAATTTTTTGGTAGTACAATTAAGATTTGATTTGGATAAAAAATCAAAATTAAAAACTAAATATTCTATGTTTACTTTTTATTACGGATAGCTAGTTTAGTAATACAAAAGGGCTTAATAAGTTTTGATGGTTAAGAAAATAAAAGGAGGGCACCTGGATGGCTCAGTCGTTAAGCATCTGCCTTCTACTCAGATCATGATCCCAGAGTCCTGGGATCGAGCCCTGCTGGGTGGGAAGCCTGCTTCTCCCTCTCCCACGCCCCCTGCTTGTGTTCCCTCTCTCACTGTATCTCTCTCTGTCAAATAAATAAAAAATCTTAAAGAAAAAAAAAAAAGGAAAGTAAAAGTTTGTGAATAACAGCTAAGATTTATGAGCCTCCTATCATGTGCTAAATGCTTCACATTATTATTTCCTTTTGTTTATTTCTCACAATAGCTCTGTGAGATAAGTAATACTATCATCCTTATTCAGAAACTGAGGTTTTTAAGCAACTTGGAGAGGACACATTGCCAATAAGTGGAACGATGCTGATACTTTATTTATAAAGCAGTCCTATCTGAGTTCTGTTCCCAATGCCTGTATGTACAACTGTCATTTCCCATTTGGCTCCCCAAACCCTTTATTCAGGAGTTCATTAATCCACTTGATCAAAGTTTAAGTAGTGTCAGGGAGGAAAATAGAAAATTACTAATCTAGATTTAGGCTTTTGAGTCTGTCTTTTTTTTTTTTTAAGATTTTATTTATTTATTTGACAGAGGGGGGGGGGAACACAAGCAAGGGGAGTCAGGGAGGGAGAAGCAGGCTTCCCACTGAGCAAGAAGCCCATTGTGGGGGCTCATCCTAGGACCCTGGGATCACGACCTGAGCCAGCGACAGACAATTAACAACTGAGCCACCCAGCCGCCCCAAGGCTTTTGAGTCTGTCTTAAGCAATTAATTCACTGGGGGCAGATGACCAGATGAAAAGACCTTGTGAAGTTACTTTCCAGGCTTCTTCTTCTGTTTTCTCCCAATGATAGCCAAGATATCTATTGCATCTAGGACCATATTTCTGAATTAATTTTTATGTTCTGCATCCAGAGGACATTTTCCTTCTAATAACTCTACTTTCCTGGAAACTGAGTGATAAATATACCTCCTAGTTAATATCCAGAATGTATAAGTAACTCATGTAAAAAACTCAATATCAAACTCCTAGTTACCCAGTTTAAAAATGGGCAAAAAACCTGAATAGACATTTCTCAAAAGAAGAGCTACAAATGGCCAACAGGTACGTGGAACAGTACTAAACATCACTAATCATCAGGGAATGCAAATCAAAGCCATAATGAGATGTTACCTCATACCTGTTAGAATCACTGTTATCAAAAAGACAAAAGGTAACAAGTGTTGGTGAGGACAGGAGGAAAAGGGAACCCTGGTGCACTCTTAGTGGGAATATAAATTGGTGCAACCACTTTCACTTATTGGTATATACCCAAAGGAAATGAAATGAGCATTTCAAGGAAATATCTGCATTCTCATGATACGCAAACAACTTAAATGTGTATTGACAGATGAATCAATAAAGTAAATGTGATTACCACACACACACACACACACAAATGCACACAATGAAGTATTATTCAGTCTTAGAAAAGAAGGAAATCCTGCCATTTGTGAGAACATGGATGAACATGGAGGACATAATGCTAAGTGAATGAAGCCAGACACAGAAAGACAAATACTGCATGTTCTCATTTATATGTCTACATCCAAATATGTCAAATTCATAGAAACAGAGGGTAGAATGGTGGTTACCAGGGGCTGAGATGAGGAGGATGGGGAGATGTTGGTCAAAGTGTACGAAGGCTTAGATATTCAAGATAAATAAGTTCTGGAGATGTAATATACAAAATGAGATTATAATTAATATTGTATACTTGAAATTTACTAAAAGGGTAGATCTTAAGTGTTTTTTCACCACAAAAAAAAAAAAAAGAAAAGAGTATGTCTGAGGTGATGGATATACTAATTAGCTTGATCATGGTGAATAGTTCACAGTGTGTATCAGATCATCAAGTTGTATACCTTAAATATATACAATTTCAGTCAACTGTATTCTTAAAATAGAAAAACATAATAATAAAAAACAGATTTTTAGTTTCAGTTCCCAAAAACTTATACTTTGTAGGTGGTTTGAGGTGGAAATTATAGAGCTATGTGGGTGAGGCTAGATTGAGGGCATTATATCTGAATTAACCCTCCTATGGCAGAGTTGTTTGTGTGTGAGTGTGTGGTAATAATATTTGACATGAAAACTACCTCTTAACAAATTTAACAAATTTTTAAGTGCACAATGATATCACACTTTTGACTTGTATAACATGTAGTCAATTTGATGTTCTCTCTCTTTTATTTTAATAAAAACTTCTGCCAAGTCAGATGTTCATCCATCCTGTTGCACAGTTGCCTTTTTTGAATCACAGAGAAGGAACTGATCCTTGTCACTGTTAAATTTCATCTTCTGGATTTTAGTCCCTAATATCATTCTATTAGTTTGCTTTTCCACTAAACCAGCTCCCAGCTTTATGTCACCTTAAAATTTGATAAGGCTATCCTCTAAGTCTTCGTGTAAATCTTTAATAAATCCTGAGCAGAATAGAAACTGACAGTTTCACATAACACCAGCAAAGGCTGCCATCTTGATTACCACTGATGTTCTTGTGGCATGAATAATTAAATCATGTACAAATACATCAAACTCTACCTCCTTCCCACCCACATTTCTTAATTTGGCTTGTAAGATAATTATGAGAGTCCCTGTCAGAGACTAACTGAAATGAAAAAAATATTCAAATGAGGCTTTTTAAAAATAATAATGCTTCAAATTAAAATTGTACCCTCTCAAAGCTTGCATTTCAGAGGAAGGTGGGTTAAAGAATAAATTAAACTTATGTATTCTTCGTGATAATTATGGAGGAATGTATTCAAATTATAAAGTTCAACCACTACTTTATGCAAATTTACTCCATTTATAAATATGCATAGTCTCAATAATATTACTTTCATTTTATCCTCTATCAAGAGTTACAGTGTTGGAAACTAACGACTGTAAAAGAATTTTATACTGTTAGTCATGGCTTGTCATTATCACTACCTCTTTTCACAAGTGCCATATTTATTGAAGAAAGAAGCTGGAACAGGTATTATTGACATTATCCACATTTACAGATTATTATTTCCAAATACAATCCATGATATATTCTGCTTTATAAGCTATTGAATAGGGAAGCAAATTAATTTAAGAAATGAGCATTCTTACATATTTGTAGTTAGGTCCATCTTATTGCCACCATTTTTTCTCTGCTCAAGAGTTAGGTAGCACTCAGCTCTTTTAGACTTATTAATGTATTTGTATGTATATGTGTGTGTATGCATACACCCATAGTGCAAGCTAAGACCAATAATTTTTCCATTTCACTAAAGCATGCAATAGGAAACAAAAGAAAAGTCTATAAATTTAAAATTATTTTTTATTGACACATTGTCAACAAAACTCTTATATTTTGATTACAGGTGTTTGAGAAGGAATTGATTATCATTAAATTAATTGAAATGACATATAAAATATATGGCAAGTCTTATAAACCTCGCTTCTGGGCATAAATGTCTTTAATGAAAGCAGAACATAAAGATTTATTTATTTATTTATTTATTTATTTGACAGACAGGGATCACAAGTAGGCAGAGAGGCAGGCAGGAGGGGTGGGGAAGCAGGTTCAATCCCAGGACCCTGAGATCATGACCTGAGCT